TATGTTTAATTTTGGTGTGATTTAAAGTATGTTAATATTATAGCTAATTAATAAATATATAAAATACTCCTGTCACAGTGTTTGTAACAAAAGTCCTCCAAAGCCGCTTGACCGATTCTTATAAATTTTTGTGTGTATATTCTTAGCTCTGAGAATAGAACGTAAACTATTTTTCATACCCCTAAGTGATAAGGGTGGCTCACCCTAATCACTGTGAGTCGCTAGTTATTATAGGTATAACAATTTTCATTGCCAATTTAAATAGGTTCTTTCAATGCGATAAAATATATTACAAGGATATTGATTGAGTTTCTAACATTATGTAATTTCAAGCGGGTGTCAAAATTACTGCTTGCAAAAATTTTATCGCATGCAAAGCGTTTGATTTTTCTGTAGTTACGTGTGTAAATGAAAACTGCCTCGGTGGTGTAGTGGCTAGCATGTACGGCTGCACACCCGGTGGTCCTGGGTTCGAGTCCCGGGTCGGGCCAAGTTTAGTTATTGAGTCTTCCTGTATAGTAAGTCTCAGTAACAGCCTGGAGTTGGGAAGTTGGCGGTGTTTCACCCCCGTGCCTCGGAGAGCACGTAAAGCCGTCGGTCCTGCGCCTTAACTCTCACCGGTCGTGTCGAGTGGTCGTCCTACCGGAGTATGAGAGTGATAGGAATAGAGAGTGCACTTGTGTCTGCGCGTACACTTGAGCACTATAATATCTCCTGCGCAGTTGGCTAATCTCATTGAGATTGGCCGCCGTGGCCGGAATCGGCTAGGAGAACATCATCATCATCAAATGAAAATAATTTGTTACAGATATCGAAATATGTACTTTTTATTCGTATTCATTTGGTATCTTCCTTTTCTATACAAAAAAGACAAGGTGAATGTAATGAATTTTTGTTCTCATCTTCCGTTAATCTATACTAATATTATAAAGAGGTAAAGTTTATGAGTTAGTGAATTGTGAGTTTGTGACGTTGTAGGGGGTAATCTCTGGATCTACTAAACCAATTTAGATGAAATTTGGTAAGAAGATAGTTTGAGACCCTGGGAAGGACATAAGATATATTTATCCCGGAACTCTATATATTATAATTTTTTTCCGAATGTTTATATATTTTTATTCCGGAATGATCTCTTAAGGGGATGAAAATGGGGATGAAAGTTTGTATGGGGAAGCAAGCCAGGGACGAACCCGAGCGAAGCGAGGGTGAGTCACTAGTTAGTATAATAAAGTACATTTATTGCTTAATATTTTGCTATTTCCAAGGAAAAAAAACAAATTCCTGTGTCTACATAAATACGAAGAAATATAGAGGTATATTCTAAGAAGAATCTAACTTTTACATCATTTGGAGATAGAGTGAAAGTTTAGTTGATTATACCGACTTCACTTTAGTGGAATGAGAGACTCTATGACCAATACAATTATTCTTTCCATACACAAGTTCAATCTTACCGCTTACGTGACAGCGGAAGTCTTAATGCGCTATAGCCATGTTATTTAAAAAAAACTTCCATATTCTTTCCTTTTAAGTTCTAACTAAAAGTGTTAAATAATATTAACTCATTTTGTTAATTTTAAATAAATATATATATATTGAGAAGATCTACATATTAATTTAGTGAGCCTTCATCTTTTCAATGTCAAAATGAAATTAACATAAGTATACGTCTTTATGAGAATTTGCAAGTCTCTTTGCAAAATGAGTCGACTAGACTCTTCGCATGTAATTACATTGTTATTACACTCGTAGATAGTAGATACGTTAGGTACTAAATACCGTTTTATGTGATGTGTTTATAACATAGTAATATGTACTTACAAAAAGCATATTTCTTTGTTTTAATAAAATCTGAGTTCATAATTATAAGTTTGAAAATATATGAACAATTCGCGGTATAAGAACCAGTAGAACGTATTACAAAAAATTAAACATCGTTTTTTTTTCCTAAAACGAGTCACAATGTGGTCCTTTACGAAATTCCAAAACGACGTAACAGTAAAGTCAATAGTTCACAAATTCCAAAAAAACGAAATAGCATAAGAACCACTTTCAATAGAACCAGAAAAACGTATTATGATTACCGCTAAATTAGTTTTAATTATCTTATTACCAGTTAGGGCTATAGGAACGTAATTGTTAAAACAATATTTTTAATCGTAGAATATTGTTTCGTTCACAATATAATGCACGAACCATATCAACGTAAAAGCTTATACGTTGTTTTGGGTGTTACAAGATTGTGTTTTTATTCTAAATTTGAAGAGCCAAAACAACGTTTATCTATTTACGTTTTATTGACACAAGCATTTTTATAAAATAAATAAAAAAGGTAAAGGCCACACTAACGTATGTCAACCGAATTTCAAAAAAATAAATATTGTGTCAATGCAAGCCTGTATAAATAAATAAATCTATACTATTTCTGAGCTCTAATAGTATGCCAATATATCAACATATTTTTTTCTTTCGTTAATTCTATATTATCACTAATAAAAAGCTGGTAAAGTTTGAAGTGGCGATTTTATCCCGTAATTCTGCTCTCCTGTAAAATTGAGAAAACGTTTATACGTTCATTTGACTTTTACACCGCGAATTAAAAAAATGAATTGCTGCGTATGTCGTATAGGTATTTGTGCCGATAAATAACTCATATACACACACATGCATACAGAAAACACGTATATAGAAAAAAGGCAAATAATATGTGAAATAAAACCTGCTTATAAAAATATTGTAAATATATTTTATCTAGTAATATGATTATAATTAGGACAACATAAATGACAAAAGGAAGGTATAAGTAGGACGTTGCTCATGAAAATGATAGCTAACTAATATTAGAGTTTAATAATAAAGGAGGACTAGCATTGCCCGCGGCTCCGCCCGCGTTCAGATGACCAAAAATTAAATTCTTAGGTTTTACATATTAGGATACTCTTACATTGCAGTTTTTGTATTTTTTCTCAGAAATGAGACATTTACCCACGGTAAAAAGTATCCTATATGTTGACCCGGATAACCAGCTATCACCATACTAAATTTCATCAAAATCTTTCCAGTGGCTTTTCTGTGATGCGGTAACAGACAGACAGACAGACAAAAATTCTGAAAACTATAGATTCGGCCTCTGCATCGATAATAATGTCCATTTCAATAAGGTTTTCTAAAAAATATTTAATGTACAGATTCGACTTAGTAAGAATTTTATTATACGTATAGATGTAGATACTTTCTAAATATATTTAAATATCACGAACACACTTGAAAAAACACTAAATAAGTAATTACTAAAACTAAATATAGTAGCTAATCCCGTCGCGCGCTCTCCGTCGAATTGTGAAGTAAGAGGCCCGGGCGGTAGGCCGGCTACGTCCGTTCCGTCATAGTGACGTCACACGCACCCGCGTAAATTGATTTTACCGGCAGGAACGGCGTAGTGTTTATTACTTAATATCTTCGTAAGTTATGGTCTGATTTTGAAAATTCAAAAAGATATATCATTCTTATGTCTTATTAAATAACGTGGATACTAGTTCTATGGAATTTGCTATAACTGTATTGATCCTCATTGCATTTACGCATACCACCTGCGTATATACAGGTGGTTATGTGGGACTGACCGGCTAGAAAAGCCATTACTGCCCACTAAAACCCAACAGAACCTCTTCTTCGTCTTTTTGTACGTCACAGGATCGCTTACGAATTCAACCACATGATCTTAAATGGCCTAACCTAACCTTCATGACATTTCTCAGGAATTGTACTATCAAAATATGTAAAAAAGATTTCGTCACTTTAAATAAAACTATCTTTTCGGATTTTTCCGCGGATTTATTTAGATTTTTGGTTCCCAAACAAAACAAATAAAAAAAAGGAGTACCAAAAATCCAAATAAATCCGCGAAAAAATCCGAAAAGATAGTTTTATTTAAAATGTCAAAAATTCGCATAAATTTGTGTTGAATGCCAAGCTCCAGATGTGATGCTGGTGGTCTTGACTAAATAAAAATGCGTTTCGTGGTAATATGGACTGTATTATCGCTGTTGATTTCTTGAGACGACCGTACGTATGCACACGGCGAGAGGTGGTGAGCGAGTCTCGGGCGTTTAGAGGGCTCGGCGCGTCGCAGGAGTGACTGTCGCGAAACCGGTTCGATCACGAGCCGGTGGCGTGATCCGATGTGACGTAGGAACATATTCCCCGGGTTGAAGTAAGGAAGACTTCAAGAAGTTGATCAGGACACTGGAAGAGGGCAGATATTATTATATGCTCGTGTAATAGTTCCTTTTTTCGTAAGGATATCCGCAACTCTGCTGTGTCCATCCGATCCAGTTCTGACAGCAATAACTCTGCCAAGCAGCCATAAAAGAGGAGGCATATTGGCGTCCTTTACTAGGACCATTGTGCCTGCCTTTAGGTCCTGCCCCGAAGTCTGCCATTTAGTCCTCTGTTGAAGCAGAGACACATATTCATGAGAATAGCGTTGCCAGAAGTGTTGACGCAACTTCTCAACGCGATCGAAGCGTTGTAGCCGTTGGATGTTGCTATTGGTTATTTGAGGACGAGGAAATGATGTAAGAGTTCGTCCGATGAGGAAATGAGAAGGGGAAAGATAAGACAAATCTGAAGGATCTGTGGAAAGAGGTGTTAAAGGTCTAGAATTTAAGATAGCCTCTACCTGAACCAGACACGTTGAAAGCTCTTCATAAGTTAAGTGAGTTAAACCCATGACTCTATGTAGCAAATGTTTACACTGCTTTACTGCTGCTTCCCAAATTCCACCAAAATGTGGAGTATAGGGAGGTATAAATTTGAATTCTATACCCTGGTTTACAATGTCTGACTCTATGAAGACAGAAGAAACTTGGAGAAAACGTGAAAGCTCATTGAAAGCTCCCACGAATGTGGTGCCATTGTCGGAGTACACCCGCTGAGGTTTGCCACGACGGCTGATGAATCGGCTGAAGGCTGCAAGAAACGCCTCTTTTGTGAGGTCAGAGACCAGCTCGAGATGCACAGCTCTGACTGCAAGACACACAAAAACACAAATATAAGATTTTATTAACTTGCAACCTCTACCTTTTCGGTCGGCTATCAGCACTGGCCCGGCGTAATCAAGACCTGTATTCAAAAAAGGAAACTCTAGGTTCGTCCTATCACTAGGTAGGTTTCCCATTATGACCTGGATAGGTTGCGCTTTGAGACGAGTACACTTAAGACAATTACGTACTATTTGCTTTGCTAGGTTTTTTCCTGCTAGGGGCCAGTAAGTGAGCCTAATGTGTGCTAACAGTAATTGAGGTCCTGCATGACAAAGTACTTTATGTTCTTTTTCAAATATGATTTTTGTTACATGATGCTTACTACACAATAAGATAGGGTGCTTGACGTCATAACAATAGTTAGAATTTTTAAGACGTCCACCTACTCGTATTAAGTTTTCTGAACTAATAAAGGGTGAAAGACTAATTAATCGATTTTTCTTATGTAAGGCCTGATTTTTTATAAGTATTTTATATTCCTCAGGGAACATTTCCTGCTGAGAAATCTGTAATATTAACAACTGTGACATTTGTAATTCTATAAGAGTTAGGTAAGATAATATTTTGTTTTTATGATTCCTACAATTGTTTATAAATCTTTTTATGTATGCTATGACTCTAACCAATTTTGTATATGATGATAATTTATGTATTAAATTTGAAATTAAATTGTTATCATTTTTGTTGTTATCCATACTTGAATGCAAAGATATGTCTGGTAATGAACGAAACTGTGAATTAGATAGTGTAGGAAATTGGATGTTAGTCTGATTGATAAAATCCGGACCTGACCACCAGAGAGTGGACGCGCTGATGTAATCAGCCTTCACCCCTCGAGAAGCCAAATCGGCGGGATTGCTTTTAGAAGGCACATAGCTCCAGGTCTGGCCAGCTGTAATTTCTTGTATTTCAGTAACTCTATTGCGAACAAATTGCTCAAGTCGTCTTGGCTCTGTAGAGAGCCACCCCAGAACAATCGTCGAGTCACACCAAAAGAAACAGGTATTAAAATCTACGGTAAGTGAATAGCGTACCTTTTTATAAAGTCGTGCACCTAGTAAAGCACCACACAACTCCAAACGTGGTATAGTTGTGGGTTTTATAGGAGCTATCTTGTTTTTGGAAGCTAGCAGGCGAACGCAGACTGACCCATTGACTGTTATCGTTCTCACATAGCAACAAGCAGCATAACAGTGTTCAGAGGCATCTGTAAAGGTGTGAAGCTCGATCACAGAGGGTTTCCTACATGATACCCAACGAGGAATGCGAAGAGAATTAAGAGCTGAAAATGACTGAATCAAATCCAGAAATTGAGATTTGATATTTATAGGTACCTCTTCATCCCAGCTACATTTGAGTATCCATAATTTTTGTAACAAATATTTTGCCTGGACCACACATGGTCCGACGAGGCCAAGGGGGTCAAAAATTTGGCTTATTAACGATAGGATATAACGTTTTGTAACTTTAATTGTAGAATGTTTAAAATCAACTGCAAAGAATAATTGGTCTAAATTACAGTCCCAATATAGACCGAGAGTTTTGCAAGGAGATGAGTCATTTAAATTTAATGTTTTATCTACATATTTAGTGTCTGTGCTAGTGATTGCTTCCAAAATTTTAGGACTATTTGATTGCCACTTACGAAGATGAAACTTTGCTGATTCGAGAGTATCAATAACACCTTTACATACTTTAACGACAGACTCTATCGAGTCACCACCACTCAAGTAGTCGTCAACGTAAAAGTCTCTCTTTATAGACTCACTAACCTCTGGATCCTCACACTGATCTGCTAGAGACACTAAACATTTAGTAGCTAAGTACGGTGCTGAAGCGGTACCGTACGTCACTGTGTTAAGGGTATATGTCTTTAAAGGCTCTGAGGAATCAAATCTGAAGACAATTTGCTGTAACTGGCGCTGTGGTGGATTAACTAAAATAGCTCTATACATTTTTTCAATATCTCCTGTCACAACAAATTGATATTGCCTATATCTTAAGAGAATTGACAATAAATCCTCCTGCACAGTTGGACCTACTCTCTGTATATCATTGAAAGACTTGCCTGAGGTGCTAGAGGCTGAAGCGTCAAATACTACGCGAAGTTTTGTGGTAGTACTAGACTCACGTATCACACCGTGATGTGGCATAAAATAATTAAATTTTGAATGCTTTAATGATTTTGAATTTTCTGTCATGTGATTAAGATTTATGTATTCTTTAATGAATTGTAAATATCTGTCTTTAAAAACGGAGTCACGTTCAAACCTGCGCTCTAAGGACATAAACCGACGCTTGGCCATTGCATAAGAGTCCCCCAAACACTCAGGCGAGTCTTTCAATGGGATGGTGACGATGAATTGGCCGAACTCGTTACGATAGGTAGTCTCTTGAAAGAGCTTCTCACAAGCCTCCTCTTCTAAAGAGAAACAGCTTTGGTTTGATACAGAGTCAAGCTCCCAAAAGCGAGTTAGCTGATCACTCTCCCTACTTGACAGAAAATGACACAAAGATGAACGTTGACGAGGTCGGGACTGGTATACACAACCAGAAATAAGCCAACCTAATTTTGATGACTGCAACCTAGGCTGATTATTACCTAAATTGATCGAATTGGAACCTAAGACGTCCCAGAAGACTTCAGCGCCGACGAGAATATCAATCGCTGAAGGTGTATTAAATGTAGGGTCTGCTAGCTGAAGGCCTACGGGAATAGAAAGATGTTTTTTAACTACGTAAGTGCTAGGCAGTGAATGTGTTATTGTCGGTAAAATAAGACAGTCTACGCTCACCTGATAGTCACCACAAGAAGATTGTATAGTAAGATGACAACTTTCAGATGTACTAGAAACTTGACCGTTAATACCTGAGATGGTTGAATTAGAGCTTTGTTTTACCAGACCGAGCTTTCTACAGAGTTCCTGGGTGATGAAATTGGAAGTACTGCCATTGTCTAAGAGGAGTCTGGCAGGATGAAGCCTCCCATTGACATCAGCTACCTTTGCCATAGCTGTGGATAATATTATAAGGGCCTGATTATTTTTTGATTGTGTATTATTAATAATATTAGTCGACAATGTGATATTGTCACTTGTTTTAAGGTCTATTTGAGATTCCTTATGTAAGAGGGTGTTGTGTTTTAATTTGCAATACTTGCAATGTGACAGTTTGCATCGTTTGTCAGTATGACCAGGACGAAGGCAGTTCATACAAATATTGCTTTCAGAAGCTTTTTTGATTCTCGAATCAACATCGAGATTTCTATAGGATTGACAGCTGAATAAGAAGTGATTTTGAGAACACATAGGACATGATGTAACTTTTTCTGATTTAATATATGTAGTCGTAAGATAGTTTGTATTTTTGTTAATTTCATGAGGTTGTTTAGAATTTATATAATTACATTTTAAGTTTTTATTGTCATGCAAGGTCTCAAGTAAGTCAGCTCTGTTAGATAAAAATTTTTGAAAATTTTTTAAATTTGGAAAATTATCTAAACTATTTTTAAATTCTTCCCACTCTCGGTTGGTCACAGTATCCAATTTTTTAGACATCATATAAATGATTAATGTGTCCCAATGTTCTGTAGGCTGTCCGAGAGTGTCAAGTGCTCTTAAATTTTTATTTATAATATCTATCATATTACGTAATGAATGGCATGATTCTTTTTGTATAATAGAAAAATTAAATAACGCTTGAACATGATTATTGATAAGCAACCTTTCATTATTGTAGCGGTCTAACAACAACTGCCATGCTATAGTATAGTTATCGGCCTTAAAGTCAATGCTTTTTATCACTAACGATGCACTGCCGGTTAAAGCGGCACGCAAATAATGGAATTTATTAATTGATTGTATGCTTTTATTATCGTGAATTAAGGAAATATACGTATCTCGGAATTCAAGCCAGTGCTGATAGTCCCCGTTAAAGTGAGGCAAGTCTATCTTGGGTAGTCGGACGAAGTCGTGCTTGCAACCAGAGCCGTGATGATCACTGCCATCCGACGTGGCAGAGGCGAGCGCTGGCGACGTAGGACGCGCGGGAGCAAGTATTACTCTAGCGCGGCCAACCTGCGCGTAGTACTGCATCTCGAACTGTTCCCGCTCAGCGTACATGGCATCCGCGTCCTCCGACAACAATTCTAACTCCGTCTGTAACACGTCGAATTCCTTATATAGAATCTCCATTTGATCAAGGCGGCATTGTAGTTCCGCCGATTGAAAGGGATCTAAATTATTGCTCGGTAAAAATCTAAGAAAATTACTAAATGAAGTTAATTTAGCCTTAAAGCTGCCACGCTTTCTCACAAGATCTCTCAATTTTGCGTCAGACATATTAAGAAATTAAGATGAATTTTATGCGCGAGCAAAGCGATATAAATAAATAATAATATTACAAGTTTGTAAAAAAAAAATTATATCTGTATAAACAGCTGTTCAAAGTAATAATGAATGTTGAAGCAAGTACAAAAGGCTTATCGCAACCCGTCCATTCAACACAAAAGATTCACTAATGACTTGCGATAAAAAATATAAATGCAATTTTATGTAATGTTTAAACGCTCGAAGTGAATAAGATGACTAAGCGGAATGCGATTTAAATGATTTTATGTATTATTATTTATTAAAGCTTTATACGAATATATAAGATTTTTTTTTTATTTATTTATTTATTTTTTTATTTTATTTTTTTAAATTATAGCTATAAAGAATATGCTAGCTTATATGAAGAGATCAATATGCCTGATCCGCGATAGAATAATCCTAAATTCCAAGGAGGGAAAAAGGCTAGAAAAGACGGAAAATAAAGGATATGGAACGGACTCACTCAATATTAAATATTCCTCCACGTGGTAGACTGTCCTCTAAGTGTCCTCCGCGGCTTGGCGCTGGCGGTCGACGGGCGGTCCGAAGTCCACGGGCAATGTGCACAGCAATAAGACGGCTATCTTCTTCCTTCGAAGGACCATATGTTGAATGCCAAGCTCCAGATGTGATGCTGGTGGTCTTGACTAAATAAAAATGCGTTTCGTGGTAATATGGACTGTATTATCGCTGTTGATTTCTTGAGACGACCGTACGTATGCACACGGCGAGAGGTGGTGAGCGAGTCTCGGGCGTTTAGAGGGCTCGGCGCGTCGCAGGAGTGACTGTCGCGAAACCGGTTCGATCACGAGCCGGTGGCGTGATCCGATGTGACGTAGGAACAATTTGATTTCGAAGGATTTCGTCAATCCGTCTGGTAGTTCTCGAGATTAACGCGTCCGAACAAGATAAAAACCAACTTTAATCTTCTTCAACTTTTTTATTAGTACAAATATAAAATAAGAATTTACAAACGGAAGCGCCGCTTAAAAACTTTATTAACCTTATTAATTAATAAGAGTTTTAATATATTCATTTGTATTATATTCAAATTATTAGAGTCCCACCTTTACATGATTTCACTGAGATAGTAAGTGCGAGAGTGTGTTTAAAGTGGTTTGTACTTCTTGTATGGTGAAACGGAACGTCGTCACTTTTTATAAAGACACAGAGAGCGATAGAGGCATTTTATAACAGTCTATCAAGTAGTGGCATAACTTAATAAGTAAAATTATGTTAGATACTAAATACTAGTAAAACATACAATTTATTAAAATATACAATTAAACTCAGATACCTATAAGCAGGCAATTACCGTATACCAAACGGAGATTGTAAGAATTTGAACAACGAAAACGATTTGGACATAAACCTGCAGCCTTTAGCGTATACCTACGCGTACTCTACCACTATGCTTGGATATGTGCTATGGATACAGAATTTTCATCGATTATAAAGTATTTTACTTCAAAAACACAAAAGACTAACGCGTTAAAATTTGCAAAAAAAACTTTAAAAGTAATGATCATTTTTTCACACTAACAACCGACATGTAAAACTTGCAAGTCACTAAGCATTATTTGGTAAAACTAATTGAGGAGTAAAAATCTTAATCATGCACCGGCAATCTATGGTTATGTAAAAAAGCAATTGTTTAACACCCTTTATATTCCCATCGAATATTTCTCGTCGATAAAATTTAAAAAGAATCTATTGTAGCCGACGTTACTCGTATGAAAAGCTCGATTAATCTTAACTTGAAATTGTTTAAGTACAAGAACGATCGTGGTGAATTTCCCCTTTCATTGAACGAGATCGCTATTTTAAAATTATCCATTCACTATAGCGCACTATAAGTACTTTACACTATGAAAATAAGTAGCATTCTTACCGAGTAATCAATCATATTGGAAATGTCTAAAATAAAACTTAAAGAATACATATTTTTTATGGTATGATATTTACATCGTTAATCGAAGTAGACGTCGGGGATTTCATGATATGGCAAAACGTGTATGATTATATAATATTGTATTATAGGTGATAGCTTTTTTTTAACCTTTTCAACCCACGTTGCTTTATGTCAAACTAGCGACTCTTGCTTCGTTCGAGTGCGTCCCTAGATACTTTTTAAATAGATATAAATAGTTATTAGCCAGCGTTAAATTGTCAATTGAAATATTCTTCTTTGGGAATTTTTCCCATTGTTTTTGTCTTATTCCAATTGTTATTCTCTTATTCAGGACGGACACAAATCTAACAAATCAAAGATCATAAAAATCGGTCCAGCCGTTCTTGAATAAATAGTGTAACTAACTCGACTTAATATTATATATATATAGACTAGCGACTCAACCTCGCTTCGCTCGGGTTCGTCCTTATCTTGATTCCCCATACAAACTGTCATCCCTATTTTCACCCCCTTAAGGGATAAATTCCGGGATAAAAAGTATCCTATGTCCTTTCCAGGGTCTCAAACTATCTTCTTACCAAATTTCATAAAATCGCTTCAGTAGATCCAAAGATTACCCCCTACAACGTCACAAACTCACAAACTTTACCTCTTTATAATATTAAGTATAGATTTAAGCTCGGTTAGAAAATGTTTTTATAAATTTGAATTGCTCCTTTAATAAACAATATGGCTCATTGTCAACGAGCAAACGTTAAAATTGTAAAACATTAAATTATATGGATATTAATAGCTAGTTGATACCATTTCGGGAAATAATTGAACAATTTGTGTTTAACTAGTGACTCATATTCTCACTGCGGGGGTGCGTGCCTTTTGTATTTATTTTATTTTAATTTTATTATAATTAATGAGAAATTCTTATATATATGTATAAAAAAATATTTCCTGTATCTCGGAAACAACTCTAACGATTTGGATCAAATTTCGTATTTAGGTAAGGTTTTGCTTTTTTAGTTAATCTATATATGTAGGCGTCTTTTCTAAAAATGATGCAATTTTTACAAATAAATCTCCTACGTAATATATGTCATCTAGCGCCATCTCGTAAATTTTTTTGGTACTTAAATTGTCGCTAAAGGATATAGATACTAGGTACTGAACGAGTGCCTAAGCGGGGTAGGTACTAAGTGTTATAATATATACATATACAGACAGCCTCTACTTTTGCTAATTTTGTTACTAATAGTAGCCTGGAAGTCGGTCAGTAGGTTTTTTTTAAGTTTTTATTTTTCCATTTTTAGTGTAGACGTAATAAGCAGGTAATTTGCAAGAAGAAAGTTTTTTAATAACATATTTAATTAAACAATATATAAAAAATAATATTTTTTTGTTAATTTTTTAAAAAACCTCTCGACCGATCTCGATAAAATTTAAATGGGATCACCTGGGAAGTATATATACCCTTTATTTACCCTTTGAAACAAAAAAAAATTTCCAAATTAGTTCAGGCGTCTATCTATAGGCGTGTAATCGGTGAACATACATAAAAAAAAGATTCCGACGAATTGAGAGCCCCCTCCTTTTTGGAAGTCGGTTAAAAAAATCTTCCTTAAAATCTTTTTCTTCTATTTACCTGCTATTAGCGAGGTCGGTGGTAAGTGTTTTTAAAAGTGAACATTTCTTAGCTTTCCATGCAACATCTTAGACCCGGAATAATTGAATTAAA